ATCTTAACCCATTAAGTGCCGTATGTAAGTGAACCATATTACCAGTTACGTATATACAGATGCGTGTGCTACTGTGTAATAATATGTGTATTTATAACAGATATTGATATACTGCTTGCTATGTGAATTGTTGTATGCCTTATTGAATGGCAAGTGAACATGGAGTTGCAAAATGCAAGTGCACTGGAGATCTGCCGAGTGCCCTATAGGTGGCAGTGTAGTTGATACTGATTGGTATGTGAAATGTTGTTTGTCTGTTGACCTATAGGGGTCAGTGTTTTGGTGTTTGTAAAACCCCATGAAAAACCCCATGAAAATTGTCAATGTACTTGACAGACCTGTAGGTGGCAGTGTTGATAGAACCACGGTTAGTCTTAATGTGAAATGTAAATTATTGTGAATTAAACCTGAAGTTGAGCCTGTGTTGGAGTTTAATTCATGGTTTATGGTTATGTTTAAAACAATCTTATGTGTAATTTATATTGGCTGGTAATTGTATATGAGATGTGAAGACAGTTTTGCTGTTGACCAGTAGAGGTCAGAAATGCTGATTGTATGGTAAAATACCCTTTAACCCCTGAAGGATACATGACATGTGTGACATATCATGATTCCCTTTATTCCAGAGTTTGGTCCTTAAGGGGTTAATCCAAATGCAAGGTTAACGTGAGATTTTGAGAGTGACCTGTAGGGGTCAGTGTGGTTTATGTGAAACATTGTTTGTGAGCTATGCCCCAGCATTATAGTTGTGTGACAGGGAAACAAACAGTGCCGTTTGACAATATACAATAAGTGAACATAATAGCTTAATAACAGTCATTGTAACAAACCAAAGTTCTGTTCATGGGTTGTAAACGCACGAAGCGTGTGTGTAGTACAATAGTAAATGCATGAACTAGTACCCGTTTGGTAGAAAATTGCACGAACCGTGAGCCTGGTATGTCAGGGAAACAAAACGAAACGAGCAGTGATATTCGAAATGCACGCACAGAATTGCCTAGTATGTTTAGGCAATTGAAACAGAATGTGTTCCCGTTTGGAAGTATGCTAATGCTCGAAATGAGCCAGTGACAGATATAAACAAGTGAATTTAAACAAATGATATGCATGAACATCCAATGGTTTTAGGACAGATTTAGACAAAATGCAGCCGTAAAGTGAGGACCTGACCCGTGCATGGTGCCGTGGGACTGATGCCTGGCGTAACGGGTAGGTCGACTTACGGTTTGTGAGTCACTTGGACACCATCCACAGCGATAGATTGAAGAAAGAAGGTGGTAGGCCGGAAAAGCCTGTGGCTGAATTCCTGACACAGCTCAGCTTAGAAAACCTCATGGAGTAATCAGGTAAAATGGCGTCTGGATGACCCGGAAGTGGAAATCATTCTGATGCTGACCTCAAGCGATATGAGTCAGGTAAGGGGTGTCCCTTATATAGGGGAGTGAATTAATTTAAGCCCCTCCCACAAATACAGGCCAAATGTTAAAACATATATATATATAGAGAGAGAGAGAGAGAGAGAGAGAGAGAGAGAGAGAGAGAGAGAGAGAGAGAGAGAGAGAGAGAGAGAGAGAGAGAGAGAGAGAGAGAGAGAGAGAGAGAGATCTCTAAAAAAAATCCAATAGTCGGGGGCGGGGCCCAACCGCCATGCTGACCAGTCGCGGGCTGGAGAGGCTCCTGCAGGATCTGGCCTAATTTGGAGGAAAAATCCAAGCTTAAAGCCTGACTCAGAGCCAAGAGACCACCTCTCATGTCCGGGTGGTTGCCGGTGCCACTGTGGTCCCTGAGATTGGGAGTTTTGCAGCCCCAGAGGGAGATGCGAGATTTCGGGGTCTGCAGCCTATGTGGGTGGAGAGCGGGTCGGATGGCCGCCGTCCTGTTTCGGAACCTGGCTGCCGCGCAATAGCCCAGTGATATGTATCACGGGCCCCTGCTTTCCCCCCCATGGACTGGGGGGGATATCCCGGTCCTCACTGGAGGGAACCACCGCCTAAGTGACCCACCGAGCACACCTAGCACCCCACATCCTATGCTTGGGTGCCAAAATGGCAGTGACGCGACTGAAGCTGAGAACAGCATCTGCATCTACCTAAAAACAGCTCTGCCCGCAGGTCAACAAGCAGCATACACGGGCCACGGAGCCCGAACCTGCAAATAAGCGTTGGACCCTCTAAAAAGCCCCTGCTTACCCACTCACAGATCAAGCCTGGTTCCACGGCTGGGCGGGAGTGGGGAACCCCCAAAGTTGAAACCTCGAGAGCCCGACCAGAAGCAGACACCAAGCGTCAGGGGGATGGAGGAGCAGACAACCGCCAGCAAATGCAGCAGATCTGCCAATCAATGCACCCCAGAGGTCCCAGGCCACAAGACCAGATGGAAAGGGCGACATAAACGGCAAAGCTCCAGTGGACTTCTCCAACACATATGGGCCACCCGATTGACAGTATGCTTTAGGCTCTGTGGCTACCAACTCTCTGCATAAGGCATATAGTCTAGGCATAGTTCCTTCCATCTTGACACACTCATGATTCTGCTTACACTTACTATGACTAACCCAACCAGTATCTGCCCACTCAACATACATAGAATTAAGCTAGAACACTCAACATACTAGAACTAAGCGCAGTAAAACGAATTCAGACAGCCTAAGTAAATTTTATTAAGCGTGTTTAGTCAGTCGGGCAGGCCTAAATGTTTTTTCTCACTTTGCTTCCCTCTCCTAACAAACGTGCACCGCTTGCTTAACAGTTACGTGAACCTCACACACAGTGATATTTATGTTCGGGTTAATGTATATTGCTTGCCTTACTCACTTGTGAACTGTAATACTTGACATATGTCCTGCTTTCCGCTACCTGCTACCACTCATTACCTATATATTTAGCGTTGTATTACTGAGCTTATCACTGATATTGTGGCAGAATAAGCCGATATGTTCACTTATGCATCCAAAAATAAAGAATTAAAAAAAATTCCAATAGTGATTGTATTTCTGATTAATCAATCAATTGCTTTGCTATATAAGTTTGGTTTTATCATATGTATTGTGTGTGATGCATTGATCCGGAGAAAAGCCACGGATGGGGGCTGAAACGTCGATCAGTTTTTAATGGATATGCAATAAAGGAGACTTTTTCTATTAAAAAAAAAAAAAACGTGAGTGCAAGCCTCTTACTACTCATATTATATATATATTTTTCCGATCAAGGTAAGGAAAGTCAAAAATAATCATAGAAAAAAGCAAGATTTTTTATTAAGACGGCACGTCAGAGTTTCCATGTAAATTACATAATCCCCTCCCCCCCCCACATACATGCAGTAAATTGAGAAAATGTAGCAGAACACTTCGTTGGAGGCAAAATTGTTATAAATAGAAAATTACCGCAGATCATTATTTACCTCAGCAACTAAACACCCTAGTACTGACTGGGATGAGGGAACAAGGAGCGGTCACCTAAAGAAAGATGACAGTTCCCACTTAGAGACTGTTCACTTTATATGAAAGATAAACTGCAACTAAATAGTTCACTCCATTAGAACAGGACATTTTAATTTCTGAAGATTCCATTTTTCTTGATCATCTGTATTTTCAAACTCTGCTTATACTACAGCACCTGTGCATTTATTTCTATGCAATAGTTCCATCTAGTGGACAATATTATTACTGCAGAATACAAGTTTCTGCCATACACTACAATAATATATAGTTACAATTGTTGGTTTGTAATGCCAACCAATTTAGCTGTAATAAAATAAAAGTCAGTATTGATGTTTTTACATTACAGTAACAATAAACAAAATGTCTGGCTAATCAGAAACAATGAAACAAAGGGAATAGAATATAAGCAAAAAATACAATACCTGATGGATCCATTCAAACTAACATTTGTTTTCATTTTTTTATTTGAATACAATTCAGGCCTATATACAGAAACATGGTCTTAAAGGACCACTACAAGCATCCATACTACATAATCTCCATGAAGTGGTCTGGGTGTAGTAGTCCTGTATTTTTTCATTTTGTCTTGTAAAAACGGCAATGTTTACATTGCAGGGTTAAAAAACCTATTAGTGACCACTAGAGTCACTAATGCCTCACCCCTAATGCTCCTGTATGAGAATCATTGGATTGGAGAAGAGATAGAGAGAGAGAGAGAGAGAGAGGTGAAACAGCACCGAGGGACTCAAAGCACTGGAAAAATTGTAAGTAAAAAGCATTTTTTTTTTTTTACTTTATTTTTACAGTTAAAGAGTGGAGGGGGCTGAATTTGACCATTTGATGTTTTGGAGAAAATAGATCCATAAATGCATCAATTTGAACACCTGTTATAGAAATACACAGTAGTTATGACATACCTTCCAAGTCTCCCTATTTAGGAGGGACAGTCCTTATTTTTGGACCGAATCCCCTGACCCTATATTTAGTAATTTTTTTAACTCTTTTCTAGGAGCTCCATATTGTTGGTGTGCCTGAGTGTATAACAGAGTTTCACAGCAATAATAATTATACTAATGTGTCTGTAACTGATTACTCCAAGTGCCATGGCCACTTCAGAGATTTAAAAGGGTCATGGTGCCTGGATTCTGTTTGTGCAGCTATTGGCTGTGAAACACTGCATATACAGTGCTTAACCCCTCAGTGCTGGATTGTAAACATAGAAACATAGATAGAAACATAGAATGTGACGGCAGATAAGAACCATTCGGCCCATCTAGTCTGCCCAATTTTCTAAATACTTTCATTAGTCCCTGGCCTTATCTTATAGTTAGGATAGCCTTATGCCGACCCCACGCATGCTTAAACTCCTTTACTGTGTCAACCTCTACCACTTCAACTGGAAGGCTATTCCATGCATCCACTACCCTCTCAGTAAAGTAATACTTCCTGATATTATTTTTAAACCTTTGCCCCTCTAATATAAGACTATGTCCTCTTGTTGTGATAGTTTTTCTTCTTTTAAATATAGTCTCCTCCTTTACTGTGTTGATTCCCTTTATGTATTTAAATGTTTCTATCATATCCCCCCTGTCTCGTCTTTCCTCCAAGCTATACATGTTAAGATCCTTTAACCTTTCCTGGTAAGTTTTATCCCGCAATCCATGAACCAGTTTAGTAGCCCTTCTCTGAACCCTCTCTAAGGTATCGATATCCTTCTGAAGATACGGTCTCCAGTACTGTGTACAATACTCCAAGTGAGGTCTCACCAGTGTTCTGTACAATGGCATGAGCACTTCCCTCTTTCTACTGCTAATACCTCTCCCTATACAACCAAGCATTCTGCTAGCATTTCCTGCTGCTCTATTACATTGTCTGCCTACCTTTAAGTCATCAGAAATAATCACCCCTAAATCCCTTTCCTCAGATGTTGAGGTTAGGACTCTCAAATATTCTGTACTCTGCCCTTGGGTTTTTACGTCCAAGATGCATTATCTTGCACTTATCCACATTAAATGTCAGTTGCCACAACTCTGACCATTTTTCTAGTTTACTAAATCATTTGCCATTTGGCTTATCCCACCTGGAACATCAACCCTGTTACATATCTTAGTATCATCAGCAAAAAGACATACCTTACCATCAACACCTTCTGCAATATCACTAATAAAAATATTAAAGAGAATGGGTCCAAGTACAGATCCCTGAGGTACCCCACTGGTGACAAGCCCAAGCATTGAATATACTCCACTAACTACAACCCTCTGTTGCCTGTCACTCAGCCACTGCCTTACCCATTCAACAATATTGGAATCCAAACTTTAAGATTGCAGTTTATTGATAAGCCTTCTATGTGCAACAGTGTCAAAAGCCTTACTGAAATCTAGGTAAGCAATGTCTACTGCACCACCCTGATCTATAATTTTAGTTACATCTTCGACAGCATCATTGGGACATCATTAGCCAGCTCAGAACAAGAGTTCAGGGCTAGTTAATGTAAAGTTCAATGCATATCGGACATCTGTTGTGGGCATCCAGGACATATTGGCGACAGACAGCCATTGGCAGCACAGCCATCACCAACATGCTGCCTATGTCCTCCCCTCAGGGGACTGCTGATATCATTCTGTGATGGAATGGAGGTAAGTTATAGAAATTTGATTTCATTTTGGCAGGACCAGTACTTTAACCCCTTAAGGACACATGACGGAAATAGTCCGTCATGATTCCCTTTTATTCCAGAAGTTGTGTCCTTAAGGGGTTAAGGTAACCCTTTAAACTACAAAAAACTGACCAGGAATCAGTCTGTGTAAAATAACATACATTGTTCTTATTCTAAATTACATATTGGTTGCACACATTTTTTATAATTTACCTCTAATTACACCCTCACTCACACCCCTAAAATTAAATTGTTCCTCTTTGTCTATGTGAAATGTTGTGAGGTACTGTTTTAAGCCAATGTATTTTACAAACCCCAGGAATGTGTTGATTCCAAAGCAGTGCTACCACTAACAATATTAGCTGTGTTAATATTATTTCATTCACATTTTTTGTGGCCAGCACCTATAAAAACAGCTGTGGTTTAGCTCCTCATGGCAGCACTGGGACTACTCTGTACATTAACCATTTAGGCACTGATGATGTTTGCATTAAATAATAGGTACATGGTAGTGTTTAAATATCACTCATTCTTGATTTAAATGAATCTGCTCTTAAATTCTAGAATTCACCAGCAGAGGTCAGTGTAATTCTGTCACTCTACAGAAAAAACAATTTCCATACAGAACAGCGAAATGTTAGAAGACAAAAAATCATGTTCATCATCACTCACGTTCTAATGTTTAATAACATTAAGTAATGGACAGATGTAGCTGTCTGATAAACATCACCTTGCGGTAGGTAGGCTTATGTACATGGATTTTGATGCCCGACGTTGTAATCTGCTTTTAAAAACACAGCTTAAAAAAAAAGCTACAGGTTTGCTCCAAACAGTTACACCTGCATTAGGAAGGTGACATATGCATGAAAGATGTCAGAATTTTTTATTTGATCAAAACAGCAAATTGCTATGCGCTTGCTGTTTATAGTACAGTCTTTGGTATTAGGAGGTAAACACAGCTGGGTGCCTCTGTCATTTAATTTCTAGGTTTCACTGGGCAAATTCAATAGGCTGCCAATTGCTTGTGTACCTTTAGCTACCTAATCTAATTTGTCCTAGAAGTTCTATTACTGCAGCAAAGGCGTCAGTGAATTTGAACCCTTACAGAATTTATTCTAGAAATGGGCATTAAAATGGTACATGCTGGGTGACAAAGAGTGAGTCATGCGGAACTAAAATACATTTCTATTGTTGGACTAGAATTACCAAGGTTGTCAAAACAGTCGCAGTTGCAGGTTGTTTTCACTTCTGCTATCTCAGCCCGTTTTAGATTTTATGGAAATTAATTGTTTAGGGAATAAACCCCAAGACCTTAATACACAAACATAGATAACGAGAAAAAAAAACTAAACAAAACAACACCACCACCTTCATTTTTACACCTTGGAGGAGAGGAGAGAAGAGAAGAAAAAAAGTAGATGTGGTAAAAATCTTTAAATAAATTAAGGGATTACATGCACCACATTTAAAGTTGGAGGGAGAATAATTATGGGGTAATGTAATAAAACACTAAGAAAAAAATGGAACTCGTCTGGAAGCTGTGAAGTCTAATGATGTTACAGAATTTCTGAAGAACAAATACATTAAAAAAAAAAAGTGAGAGGCTACGTGGGTCTGTGACGGACCACCTGGCACCCCGAGTGGATAACCCCATCAATCGCAGCTTCCTAGTACATGTGAGCACCATAAGCACTGTACTTGAACACCATAGCCACCATAAACCCTACGAACCGCCACAAGCCTGGTTGGGGTCTCGCAATCCTCCACCCACCCTGGACCCAAGTCTAGGATCCAGTTTCCAGTGGGTAGACCTATCCTAGTCCAGAGAGCGTAGCAGGAACAGCTCTTATAAGATTGGTCCGTCATCCAAATTCCATAACTCCAAATCGCCATATGACTGAATTAATTTTTTTAAATTTGTGATTCATAGATCCTCCTGTGGCATAAAAAAAATATATATATATATGGCTGATTCTAATGGAACAGCCACTAAATCAAATAAATATATGAAACCAGGGATAAGCCAGACTGAATGCCCTACATTCACAACCGAAGGCTCAAAACTGAATGACCAAATTAGCAAATGTTTACCAATTGTGATCCATATTTGAATGGCTTGACTGAAATCCCGATGAGAATTAGTTCAGAAAATAAGATTTGCCATATATATTTATAAATACACATAATATGACATAAATATTATGCATACATTTTGCAGTCATCTGCATGTGTTCAAACTCTTTTGGTTTGCCCAAATCTTTTTCTCTGAATCACTTGCATGGATGAAATTTAACAAGTCAAACCACTACATGGACAAAATTAGTTTTTTTCTCCAGACAAATTGATTTAGACCATTTATAAAGCAGTCACCTGGTATTCTAACTAAGCCTGATAAAATATTGTTTTTTTTTTTTTTTTTTGACCAACTACCCTTAGGCAATCCAATATAAAATACTAAGCTAGGCTTTAAGTTTCATTGATAGACCATAATTTAGGTCAAAATGTATAACACTCAGCTTAGGTGAAATAGGACAAAGTCGTGGCTGCAAATTTACGATGTCTTTACATACGTCAATAAAAATTTTGTGTTTTGGATTATTGGACTGACATAATTCTCTTAAAACCTGCCTGGGTGTTCTGTTGTCTTTGTTAAGAATGGTGGAAGCTCTGGATGCAGTCAGCCATGAACAAAGTGAGTGCATTGGATATGCTCATAAAGAATGTTATTGTGAGACACAGTGTGAACAAGATTTACAAGATGATGGGCAAGGGAAATGTGTGTGGGAACATAATGTACAGAATGCCTTCACTGGTGGATGTCCTGTCCAGGATACAATAGAAGATTATTGATATAGACACTGAGTAGATACTTTAAAAGGATGGTAGGCAGATTGCCTGGAGGAATGTCAGTCCACTGAGTGTGTTTGTTGCTTAAAGGACCACCATAGTGCCAGGAAAACATACTCTTTTTCCTGCCCCCACCCTCAGGGTCCCTCTCCCGCCGGGCTCTGGGGGGAGGAAGGGGTTAAACTTACCTCTTTCTCCAGCGCCGGATGGGGAGCTCTCCTCCTCCTCCTCCTCTTCGGCTGAATGTGCATGCGCGGCAGGAGCCGCGCGCACATTCAGCCAGTCCATAGGAAAGCATTCACAATTCTTTCCTATGGAAGCTGGCGTCTTCTCACTGTGAAAATCCGCTGGGCTCTGGGGGCATGCGCATTCAGCCGAAGAGGAGGAGAGGAGGCGGAGAGGAGGAGAGCTACCTGCCCGGCGCTGGAGAAAGAGGTAAGTTTAACCCCTTCCTCTCCATCCAGCCCGGCGGGAGGGGGACCCTGAGGGTGGGGGCACCCTCAGGGCACTATAGTGCCAGGAAAACGAGTATGTTTTCCTGGCACTATAGTGGTCCTTTAACGTTCATGTGATGTTTGATTTTCTTTTAACATGATCAATTATTATACTGTATAAGGTCAGCAAGAACTCGATGGGCAAGGTGAAAACAACTCTAGGAGCCAATTCCAGGACAAGAACGCTACAAAAGTGAACATCTATATTAACATCTATATATCAAGGTGATGCGCTATCCCCAATGCTGTTCTGCATAGGCCTCAACCCCTGTTAGCCAGATCATCATGAAGAGTGGATATGGACACAGGTTCCAGAGTGGAGCTACCATCAGTCACCTACTCTACATAGATGATGCCAAGAGTGAGCAGAACATTTACTCACCGATCCACCTAACTAGGATATACAGCATGGACATCAGAATGTAATTCGAACTAGATAAGTATGGGCGGATGATAGCAAAAAGAGGAAAGTTGATCAGGACAGAATCAGTTCAAGCTCCAGAAGGTCAAATAGGAGATGTAGAGAAGAGCTACAAGTATCTGGGGATACCACAAACACATGGCAAACATGAGGAATAAGCAAGAAGGATAACAACATCAAAGTACCTCCAGATAGTCAGACAGGTCCGGAAGTCCTATCACAATGGCAAGAACAAGTTCCAAAATAAATTGGAATTGGGGGCACACCCAGAACATGCATTTCTAAGCAGTAGGGCTGCAGTACAGACCAAAATCTATATAAAATACAGCAACACACAAAAACAAAAATACAGTTTTACATTTTTAAGGCTACTTCAAATTACCTATCTTAGCAAACAAATATGAGGATTCCATTCCATCATATGGCCATATTGTGTTAAGCCCACCACTA